CCATTCATTGTGGTGTGTGGTAACGGAGATCATACGCATTTTTTGACTCTCTACACCTGGCAGCTTAGCTGTTGTATTAATATCAGTCAGAGAATTATCAAACCTTTCCATCTGGATAGAGGCCTCGGATTTTGTCACTTCCACACATAATACAACAGGAGAACAAATTTAAATCATTGTCGTCTACACTAATTCGAATTTTTATTATGTCTTATTCAATCCGATTTGTATAGGCAACAATATTTACATTTGCCTCCTCATATTCACATTTTACTATTCTGTTCTAAAATATTATTTACAATGTTAGAGACTATATTGCGCTTAGGAAATCAATCGAGTCTTTGTTGCTGTTTGCAGTCCCATAATGGTCTATGTTGTAATTGTAGTTTCATAGTTAATGTGTGATGTGCATGTGCAATATCTTTCTACGTTGACACTCGTGGATTTTGAAGGACAGGGTGATGATACCCAGACAGTGCGTCGATTTTCAGACTGAACTTTTCTTTCAATTCCCAAATGCAAAATTTTGGATAGTCTTCGATATCTGCATCCTTGGGGCCAGGTGACATTATGAGAGTTGTGTTTGGGGAGGATTGTAAGAGAGGGTGCACTACAGGTGTGTGCCAAACCTTGTTTGTGAGGCCTTGAGTGTGAAACTGTGAAAAAAAAGACTTTTATACAATGGCCTTGCATACTAAACTTAGGTGCGAGGAGAAACAATTACAATGTATGAAGCTGTGTGTGCAAGGAAGTTTGGGTGAAAGCGGTGCGTGGAGGGAGAGTGCGTTGTGAGTGCGAGGCCTTGCGTGCAAAGTCTTGAACGTGAGGCGACTCAGATGCACCTGAGTCCCTGCGTGAGGTGATCACCATCAACCACCACCGTCACCATACACCACCATCACCACCTCCACCACCTTCAAGCGGTTAGGAAGCATCTGGCCGACCGTGAAAAGAAACTTGAATTAACTTTGAGCGAGAGGTCACAGTGGGAGGAAGAACGGGAGGCGAGGGGAAGTAGTGGGGAAAATAAAGGGATAAAGGGAAAGGGAGTGGAGCGATATGTCACCGACGTTTTTCCTTAAATTGGTCTTCGTCTTTCATTCTCTTCTCTAGAGTGGGAGGCAAGGGAGGGAGGGAGCGACTGGGCGATGAGCGTAAGATACATCCTTACCTCTCGTATCCCCCCTAGAAACTTTTTTTCAGTTCTCTTATTTTTCTGATCTGCGAGCGTGATATGTTACATGTGATATGTTAATGGAAGTTTTAAACAAGTAATTTCATCTCCAGTGTTTCTAACGTAACGGTATCAGCATTCATAAGGTAAGACCACTATATCCTGTAGACGTTTAAGGCCGATATCCAAAGTTTGAGACCAAAGTTTTAAAATAGTGCGAGGAAAAAACTGGCGTCGTTTTAAGCAATTCGGAAATCAGCTCAGGTTCTTCCAATAGATATATACCTAAATAAACATTCAGTACACCTTCGTGAGTCCTCATTTTACTAACTGAGACAACAATAACAGGGAAAATCTGGTAAAATTTCGCTCTCATGATCAGGCACTTCTCTAGTCGTGGAAGGCAGAAAATATTTTTAATCACTGATCATTTCGAAATTTCATAATTCTTAATTTTATGCTGGATGTTAGGGCTGTTTACGTAGCACTAAGTGCATTTACCGATGCACAATACAGTAAATAAAATCTATTGATATGCATCCCTGAGGGCTTACAAACATTGCCAACAGAAAATGGTATTAGAAAAAAGTGCATTTATTTTACCCACATTGTCGATACTTCGCCTGCACACAGCGATTATAGCGCGGGAAAGACATAAGTGGAAAGGCAATTTAAGATGATCAGTCCCTTAGCCTTGAAAGGGGGTCATCTCTTAGTCTAGAGATGAAGGCAAGGAACTCTTTTTCTAAATAATCATATACATTTCTTCTGTGTGAGTCTTAAACCTAGAACTGAACCCATCAGAAGAGTCTTAACGACTATGGGGTGCTACATCTCAGGGACAAAACAGTCTTTCCCCTTCTCTGGTTTAAAAAGACCATTCTCGTTGTATAAATTTGACGTTTTCCATTTTTGTCCACATCGTTCCTAGACGAAAACATGGTATTTTTTTTTATAAAGAAAAAAAATATATAATATATATATTATATAATATATATATTTTATATATATTTTTCAGGAAGGTACCACCTCTAGAACTGTCCTAGGGCCCCCCATCCTCAGAGAAAAATAAACTTGCTTCAGGGGAAAAATCAAGGTTCTCCCTGAAAACGGTTTGAGAATTT